CACCTGTTGTGAAAGGCTGATCTAGGAAGAATTCCTTGGCTTGCAGCACACTGTTCTCCTATTTGTGAAATATGATTACTTCTGCCTTTTATCTTGTCATTCAATGATAACTGACTGCTTAAGGCTGACACTCAGTCGTAATTAGTCCCCTGGTGAAAACACAGCAACGTACTTTGCAATTGCTCTCACATATCTGCACCCAGCATCTGTAACACATCATTCTTCAGCAAACAGATATTCCTTTATCTTCCCTCCCCCCCCCCCCCCCCTTATTTGTACAAATTAGTAGGGAACATGTCTCCAAAGAAAAACTTAACAGAAATAGACAGCATCAATGCTCCTACAGATTACACTGTACATTTCACAATACAGCAAAATAACTTGTATTCAAAGTCTGCTAACAAAGGGGCCGCCCTGCTGCTCTTTTTCTTTCCCATTTACTTATTTAGCCAATTAATTTTAGAGAATTAAGCATCTAGAAACTTCTTGAGCACTATGTCCACAAAGCTGCCAGGTACAAGCTGAAATAACTATCAGCAACTCAGAGTAGAAGCTCCCAGCTAGATCGTGAATGTACTAATAAGTATGTAAAGAGCTCCCCTCAGTGGCAAAAGAATGTATTTCCAGCTATGCTATCATAACGAGAAGAAAGGAGTCTTTGGAAATGTAAATACGTATACTAAACACCCTCTACTTAATTCAATCTCTGCATGATTAATTTTAATCAAAGCACTAGAATCATGACCTTTCACTAGGATAGCTTTATTCATCATCAGCCACATTTCTGAGAAAATTCAGTCACTGGCTGTGAAAAGACGTTGTTTAATCAAGCAGACACTCTGAATTATAAATGTTAAGTAAAAGAGCATCTTACCCAGATGCTTCATAACCTATGATTGGCATACTTGTTATTCTGTGCAGTAATGAGGTGAATTACTCTGTATGATTAAAAGGCCCTGATTGCTCCCTGACAAATTGAGGTTGATAAATACTTAATTTAATACTATAGAGTTATTTGGACAATAAATAGACCAGTCCGAAGCTCTGAATAAAAAGTTTTAAATGACATTTATTTTCTTTGTATCATTTTTGGAAACTGATATATAATGACCTCGGCTAAACCAATAAAACTCAGTATTAACTCCGTACTTTTGTTTTAAACTTGCTAGGTAGGCTTTCATTTGTAATTAACTACTTTTTTCATCTTTTCTTCTTGTACCTTCTTTAGACTTTCTTAAAAGTGAGGCCTGTTTCACAGTTCCTAGCTTCTCGAACAATCTCTGTGTTAAACTATTCTATCCTGAGAGCACAGAACTAGTGTATTCCTAAATCAAACATTCTCAAATTGTGGGGAATAAACATAGTTAAATGGAGATGCTACTAAAGAGCCAAAAGGAGGGCAGTGGCAGGAGAAATGCTGGAAGAGTTAGAGCTAAGACCACAGGCTGCTGGGCTCCAACAGAGGAAAACAACAGCTCTGAACACAAGCAGAGGAAGCAGATCCCATAGAAATTACCACATCAGGATATTGCTTCTCAGCAAGAGCTTGCCAGATCAGTTCAGCATCTCCTTTTGCCAGCTGACAATGCTGGATCAGTTCAGCATCTCCTATGTGTATTTGGCCCCCTCCCTTCTCATCCCTGTTCTTACTTCTGTCTAGAATACTTCCTCCTGAACATGCTTCTCATTCCACTTGCAGTGGCCCCATGGCAAAGTGTTTCTCCTTTCCCACCTGCAAACATGCTTCATGGCAGTATTTCTCCTCCTTGTGCTCAGCTTAAGAAATGCTGCATTAGAAATTTCTAGTTGATGTTGGATTAGAGATGCAGAATGTACACTGGAATGTAGCAGGAAAAAAGTCTGAGATGGCTGCTAAACAAACTTGCTAACTAAATCAGGCATGACACATCCTAAGTCAGGCCTAGGACAAACTTTGGAGACTTTCAGTTATTATGTTCTGGCCTGTCTACCAAGATTAAAGATATAAGAAAAAAAATTAGATAGCTTTACTTTCAGTATTTTTTCTGTATGTCTTTAGTCATATTTACAAAGGTAATAAAGGTCCTCCCTGCTTTGCAGAACTGCAATTTAAAAAGTGATATCCTTCTGTACCACTGTTAAATCTAGACTCTAAGGGCCTAACTCCATTACTTCTTGTCCAGCTGTGTGGCTTTGCTGTTCCTGTACATAGGAATGGAAACATCTTCAGTGTGAAAAGCAAAAATCAGTTTCTGGAAGGCACTGTCTGGTAAACAGCAGGGGAGGTAGCAGACAGGAAATGAGGCCAGAAAGGCTGTGGCTGGTGGCCAGCAGTGAAGTGTCAGGCTCTACCTGGGAATCAATCAAGCACCTGCTGCTGGAAGCACATTTGGGCACTGTGCAGCATCAGTGCTTGCGTAATCAAATACATTCTTGTACCAAGTCCATCTACCAGCAGGTTTATAACTTTTATAAGTGGTAGCTGATAACAATCAATACACAGGTTTCTACCCAGTACAGTTATTTTCCTTGTGATGCAGCAGTTGGCAGCAGGATGCCTGAAGTCTGCCTATGTCCAACAGTAGGTATCAAAGTCCCTTTTTAAGTACCTGGCTTTAGTGACGCCCGTCACATTCCTTACCAGAACTTTCATGTTCCTGCAGCATATGAAAAACTCAATTCATACTACTACGCTACAGTGTTGCTGGGCCTTGTGGGATTTTTAATATGTCTAGATTTTATAGGCTTCACATCTCCATGATTTTTCTCTTCTGATTTTCAGCTACTTACTGGCAAACTGGAAATACTTTTGCCTTTGTCTGACTGTTATAGATTTTGTGTCTTCCTAAGTGAGTATCATATTGTTGCTTTGTGCAGGTGGAAAATCATCCTCCCCTTTAATAGAAGACAAAATCAAACAAAACTATGAAATCATTAAAAAAACCATCCCTAAACACAATCTTCTCTTTCCTTTCCTCAGTACTGAATTTTAAGTATGTATTTAAAATTTAATACTGAGGCTTTGTCTTTACTGACCCTTAGGGTTTTTTATTTCCCATCAAAGAGTTTATAGTATCAGTTACCAAAACAGCTTTTTTTTAATGTAAACCCAAGCAGCATTTCTAACTGGGAAACATAATCCTGTGTTTAGATTAGGTGTTGAAAATGCAAAAGAAAGAAATCTTTTGCTTAGTCCTGTTTCAAATATAAGATTTGATAAGGAATCACCATCTATCCTTTCTCATAGTTTCTGCCCCATTCATGTGAAGGTACTTTTTGGTATGCAATGGCTCCAGAGTCAAAACAGATATACAGTTAGGAACGAAGGAAAAAAAAAAAAAAAAGACTAGGACAGCCTTCCACTATCTGAAAGGGGCCTACAAGGATGCTGGAGAAGGACTCTTCATCAGGGACTGTAGTGATAGGACAACGGATAATGGGTTTAAACTTAACAGGGGGAGTTCAGGATACGTATAACGAAGAAGCTCCTTACTGTAAGGGTGGTGAGGCAGCGGAACGGGCTGCTCAAAGAACTGGTAAATGCTCCATCCCTGGCAGTGTTCAAGGCCAGGTTGGACAGAGCCTTGGGCAACACGGTCTAGTGTGAGGCATCCCTGCCCATGGCAGGGGGGTTGGAATTAGATGATCTTAAGGTCCTTTCCAACCCTAACTATTCTATGATTCTATGAAATACAGAATACATACGTAAGATTTAGAACATGGCGATAACATGACACTCTGGAAACACTGCTGTAGTATAAAAATTGCATCCGACCTCTGCACTCTGAAGTTTTAGCCACTCTACTGAGTAAAAGTATGTTATATATTAAGCTCTCGAAGTATTCCTAAGGATGGGATAAAATGCAGAAAATTCCTCAGTCACAAACAATTTTACCAAGAGAATGCCAACTTTTGGAGCTCGATTTCAACAAGACTTTTGATAATTTAAAAGCATTCAGAGATGCATTTGAATCCCCCTTGATTATCATCTGTAGTCTGAGAGTTGGATCAATTCAGCTATAGGCCTATGCCCAAGTACAGTGGGAGATTGGTATCTCTTATTAGGAAAAATATCCAGAAGATCTGAAAGATGCTGAAAAGGTCTATGTGGCAGAAATGGAAATGCGAGTTATAGCATTAGTATACATGGAAACAGGTCATGAAATTACAAAATCATTGGGAGTTACTTTTTGAGAACTCTGGGATCATAAACGAAATACTAGAAAGTCAGAAACGAAATGTGGCACCTACCCTGTAAAGAGAAGCTGTGGAAGACTGAAGTTGTTTTAAACTTGAAATATCTATTAATGACTTAAAATACTTTTCATAGTTGTAAGACTTGGAATAGAAAAAGGAGATGAGCAACTACAAACCATTCTGATGTTTTAGCCTGTTGAAAGAACAGAAACACCACTTCCTCAATTTTTAAGGCTGTTGACCCTCTTCAGATGCCATCTTTTGATACTTTTGTGGGCAAGCCTAGACAACTACCACCCACCTGGCTCCCACCTCCTTTATGAAAACCCAAGGGGTACTGCTATGTATCCCTGAGATCCCTACATCCCCTTCTGCCTTTCTGCCACCACCTTGCTGGAAAGGCTCATCAGATCCTGCAGTGGGCCGTAAGTGGGGATAGGACTACAGTAATAAACATGCTTCCACTTGGTAGAATTTCATCCTGCTTTAGGAGCCTGAAGAGAGCAGAGGGGCTGCACGGGGGCATAAAGAACTGCAAAGGAGACAGGATAGGCCGTAGCAGCACTGGCACCGCTTCACATGAAACCCCCAACTACTGAAAACCAAGGGCAAGGCTGAGACGCACTGGAAGCTGCTGCCGAGGAGCTTAGAGTCAGCACAGCATGAAGAGCAATGAGGCCTGTCCTGAGAACTGGACTCCGCGGGCACAGAGCCCAGCTGTGGCTGTGCGGGATTGAAGCCCACCCCTCAGAAACAACACCCGCCCCGGGCTCCCTACACGAGCTCCTCCGTGCGCCTGCGCCTAACTCGCTTCCGGCTGCGCTCCTATAGCCCGCAGCAGTTTCCGCTCCGGATCGTTTCCGTCCCGTCATTTCCTCTCCCGCCGCCGCTATTGCTGCTTCCTGCGCTGCCGGAGGGGACTCGTATCCCTCCACAGGCCCCGTACGCGTGCCACCGCTTCTCCTTCCCTCGTCCCCCGCCACCTCCGCCATGGCCATGAGGCAGACCCCGTTGACGTGCTCCGGGCACACGCGCCCTGTGGTGGACCTGGCCTTCAGCGGCATCACCCCCTACGGTTATTTCCTCATTAGCGCTTGCAAAGGTAAGCGAGGACGGGTGCCCCCTTTGTTTTTGGGGCTGCCCTCGTCTCCGGGGTAGGGGTGTGGAGAGCGGGGGGTAGGGCTGAGCCTTCGCCACGCTGCTCGTAGGTCGCGCACCGCCTCCCTGGGGGGGTGTCGTAGGGGCGGGCAGGAGGGGACCCAGGGGCTGGCGTTCGCTGAGGATATTGTTCCCGGCTGCTCTGCTCGTCCACTGAAACAGCAGCGTTTGTGGGGTCCTACTAGCTTATGGTGGTGCCGAAGTAAAAGGGGAACGCGAAGCTGGTTTTCGTGGTGCTTAATTAATTAACGGGTTAGCCTCCGGTGTGCCGAAGTCCGCATGCGCCTAGTTTGGATCCAAGCTGGCGGGGGGGCGAGAAGCCTCGAAAAGGTTGGTTTGTAAAACTGCCCACATGGGCTGTAGGTTTTAAAGTGAGCTTCCGTTTAATCAGGACAGCTGCCTTGCTGCGCGTAGAATGAAGATGTCCACCTCCTTTCCCGAGAATGTTTCTCCTTCTGTGAAAAGCATTTCCCCTTCATACAAATATACATTAATCTTATGTACGTATTCATAATTAAGACGTTTCTGCTCTGGAGGGCGTCTTGTTCAGCTGTGCATTATCTAGTGTGAACAACTTTTTGATAGCCTCCTAGAAAAAAGTGATCACAGGAAAGGTTTTCTGTTTTACATAATCTCTGTATGTGCTTTAAGTGTATCTGCTGGCAAACAGAAGGCCTACTTCTGCATACTGTTAGTCTGATAATACTGTTCCAAAGTAAGAAAATAAACCTGCCCCACCTGAAGAAAACTAAGAAGTATAAAACCAGAACAAAGGCTTCCTTTCTGTCTCCCTTCTGCCTTAACACAAACCTAAAGAAATTTGTTTATTTCATTTGGACTAGTATTTTAATGTGTATACAGTTTTAGAGTCATGCATATCTCAGCTCTTCAGATAAACTCTTAAAAAGAATATCTTCATAAAGTATGTGGCGTTTTCACGTTCTTTATGCTTGTGCAAGGGAGTCTCTTTGTTTAACAGCTTCCTTATTTTATCACATCACCTGAATATTGGGTTTGTTTTTCTGAAGATGGTAAACCCATGCTGCGTCAGGGCGATACAGGAGACTGGATTGGCACCTTTCTCGGTCATAAAGGTGCTGTTTGGGGGGCCACTTTGAACACAGATGCCACTAAAGCAGCTACAGCAGCAGCAGATTTTACAGCGTAAGTGATAAACTGCTTGAAATCTGTGTTTTATTTTAGTCTGTATCTTATTTTAGTGCTCTTTGGTGACATATAGCTATAGTAAATTACTGATCTATTTGTTTTTCTTTAGTAATTGTTAGCTTATTTATGGCTAGCCAAATTAAAACCTAGACTTTTAGGTTCCTGAAACCAGCTACAGTTAATTCCATTGTGATTAATAACTATGATTGCTTTTTGATAAATAATTAATTACAATGCTAGTTTGCTATAATAACATTTCTGTATGGCTTTAATCTCTGGCACTGTATTTGGAGCATAGTTGAAAGAACGATTTTTATTTTGCTTCTACCAGTTGGCTTCTTTTTATTATTGCCAGGTTGGACGAGGCTTGGAGTAACCTGGTCTAGTGGAAGGTGCCCCTGCCCATGGCAAGGGGGGTTTGGAACTGGATGATCTTTAAGGTCCCTTCTAACCCAAACCGTTCTATGGTTCTGTGATAATTACAGAAAAACTTGTGAAAATTGTAGTGGATTATTGCTCTGATTTTTTTTTTTTCTTGTTTGTTTGCAGTATGTATTAATATTTGGCAAGTTGAATTCTGTTAGTAGAGGGTAATCTCTGTTAATGAAGTTGGAGAGAAGAACTGACTTTGTCTTAAAACTAAAATGCTAATTAGTCTGCATTATCCTGAAGAAGAGGATGAAGGAAAATTGTGGGATAGTACAAAAAAGACGTAGTAAAAACACATATTTTCACTGACTAACTGGGCTATATCTTATAAGAATGTAGGATTTATGATAAAATGTTATGATGTCAGGGAAGACTGCTTACCTTCTAATCTGACTGTTCAGGTTGATTTGTCATAGTGCTACTAAACATAAATGTTTTCTCTTGCTGTTCAGCAAAGTGTGGGATGCTGTGTCAGGTGATGAACTAATAACATTGGCTCACAAGCACATTGTCAAAAGTGTGGATTTTACACAGGTAAGATAAACTTGTATACCATATCCACCAGGGAAGTAAGCTCTGCACTGTGTTTTGGTATTAGTTGCTCTTCTACTTTTTATGTGTTTATCTTAATGAGCAAACAATCTAGTGTAATACTCCTAGCTTTTGACATAGTGGATTAAACGTAATAATTCTGTTAGAGGTTGTTACTATAAGATTCATGGAGGAAGGCTGGTATTATGATTCAAAATAAAGTTGACCCTTTATAACTTCTGTTTCAGGATAGCAATTATCTGTTAACAGGTGGACAAGATAAACTGTTGCGTATCTATGACTTGAGCAAGCCAGAAGCTGGTGAGTGCTTTTTAGAAATGATTCTTTGGGTTTTTTTTGAGTTAAATAAAAGCTCTGAAATCACAAGCTACTTTGTTATGAATCACAAGAGACAAAATTGAGGATTGTTTTACAAATGTAATATCTATATCCTTAAGATGATCTGTATGTTTTAAGTTTACATTTTTACAAGTGGATTAGAGTTTATAATGGATTTCAAGGTTACCATGTTTCAGCTCAACACGCTCATTAACAATAGGTCTAATTAAAATTTATCTTAAAAAATGCTCCACATATTTGTGTTTAAATTCATTTTCATACTGATCTACTGATGATTGATATGAAAGTAGAGAACTCTGACTAGTTAAACTAATGAAGCATTTTAAATTTAGGTGATCAGATATCCAGTTTATACTTACCCTGTTCCTGGAATAAGATCTACAGATAAAGTCATAAGTACTTGAAGTAATTTTACAGTTCCTACTAAATGGAAATCCATATAGCTTAAGAAAGCTTCCAAACTGCTGCATGAAATTATGTAATTTTCTTGCATGTATTAAAATAATTGACTTTATTTTAAGAACCTGATGTTGTCAGTGGACATACTTCTGGCATCAAAAAGGCTTTATGGAGCAGTGATGACAAACAGATTCTTTCAGCTGATGATAAAACTGTCCGGTAAGAAAAAGTAACTTTTAAGTTTTCTAAGAAGCTCACTTCTATTTACTGTCTTCTGTGTGAGAAGATAGTTATGTTTTTTGGTAAAGGTATGTAACACAAGTTAGTTGATCCTAGATTATTATAGCTTCATGCCAAATACAGCTTTTTTTTTTCTGCTGTAGAGACACAACTTGTAATAATTCTAATTTACCCCATAAACATGTCTTCCCTGATAAGAAGAGGTGGTCTTTGAGAAATGCATAGTATAATAAATTTGCCTTTCATAATCACAGAGAAGATGAATTTGTACACGAGGTCTTGTGCATACACATTGTGCTGAGGTATTGCTCCCTTGTTTCTTGCAGTCCGTCCTTGAAAGGTGCACAAGGCATGGACTAGCCAGGCACTGGGATAAATGACTGGGAAGAGTGTCTGGAAACAGTGCACTGCTGGTTAGACATAGCCCTGTTTCTCTGCTGTGTTGATAAGTTGAGTAGGCTTTAGTGTTTTTATAGGATAGCTCATCCAGTCATGGTGAAGTGGTTTATAAGTTTACTTTATGCCCACTTGGTAGATGCCCTGAAGCCTAGACAAGACTGGCTGCTGGGGAGATGAATTGACAAAGACCCCTTCTCAAACTGTGCTCTGCAGAAAAGATGAAAGATGTGCCTCAGCTTTCTGGCTGATATGACCAATGTCATTTCATGCTTAGCTGACACACCCATTATATTTATGGCACAAATGACAGGGAAATAGAATGGTCTTTTCTGCTCTGTGGAAGGAAGGATGGGAGTGTGAAGTGACTGGTGCAGTTTCTCTGTGGTCTCCTTTTCAGCTCTAGTTCTTTCCAGTTTCTTGGAGTTCAAAACAGACAAGAGACTCATCTTGTTTGCTTTTCTCTGATTGTAGAAATAGAAATGTGGCAATCAGCTAATGAATGAAGATTCTTAACTTGTTGTAGCAGAGCAATTTCATTTCTTTTCTATTTAGATAGCTCTTCCACCCCTAGATAGAAAATTTTAGTATGTTGAATTAATTTCTGTTTTTTTGTATAAATTGGCATTAGTGCCCCTTTGCCTTGGGATAAAAGGGCAGAATAGAATCTTCAAGCCTTGCTTCTAGAAAGCTTGTACTGCTCAAGAGACTTATGGCAAGATTTTTAATTTCTAAAAGAAGAGTAGTTAAGTGCTATGTGTACCATTTAATATTGTTGCAGTAAGCTTCAGAAGTAAAAGTATTTTAAAGCAAGCACATCTGAAAACTTTGCTTAGGTGAGAACAAAGATAAGAGTGCCACTGAAAATCTGAATTACTTGTGGAATCAAATCGTTAGGTGGCATTTTTGATCCAGATCTTGCCATTGCTGAAGTAATCTGAAAGTTTTTTTTTTTCTTTTTTGTTTCCCCCTAAGCCTTTGGGACCGGAGTACCATGACAGAAGTGAAGGCACTAAATGTTGCAATGTCAGTGAGCAGCATGGAGTATGTTCCAGAAGGACAGATACTTGTGATAACCTATGGGAAAACTATTGCTTTTCATAGTGCAGAAACGTGAGTCCAAACCACAGAATTTTCACAGGTTGAGTAATGGGCTTGGTTGTGAGTGAAAAATGATTCTACAAGGCCAGGATCACCAAGGTGTCCACTAATACCAGTTCTGACATCTTTGATGTCAGAGGCAGAGGGTGAAACAACTACCCTCTGTGAACCCTAACTATCTGCAAGGTGCTAGACTGTAAAGGTTTGGTGCTATTTTCATTTCACACTAACTGTAATTGTAGTTAAATAAGTTTCATACAGGGTTCAGTTCAGTGCTTTTCAGAGAACTTAATTATCCATACATCTCTATGACATGTTAACAAAGTGAGTTATACACTTAAACATGTTCCAGAAAGTAGTTCTGAATGTGTGAGCTTTTGTTTTGCTTATTCTGAACTTGTTCCTAACTTGATGAGCATGATTTGCAAGTATTAAAACTCATTTCAGAAACTGTGTGTGTGTGTGGTGTATTCTGTTTTTGTTAAAAGCAGTTGTGGTTAGTAGAATCACAGTTTCTTTGCTCTCAATATTAGGGTTTTCTTTAAATTACCTTTGGTAACAAGCTTTTCTCCCACAGTCTAGAGCAGATTAAATCATTTGAAGCACCTGCTACAATCAACTCTGCATCACTTCACCCTGCGAAAGAATGTTTGGTTGCAGGTGGTGAAGATTTTAAACTCTATAAGTATGACTATAATTCAGGAGAAGAATTAGGTACGTTTATCTTCTGTATAAAAAAAATACTTCTGAAATGGGTATTAGAATAATGAAATAATGACTAATGACTAATGAATGAAACTTGTACTCAAGATTTCAGTATAATGTGCTGTGCAAGAGGATGGAAGGAAAAAATGATTAACTAATAATATACTTTATCTCGGTATACTTAATGTTGTTCTTCTAGAGCTAATTCAAGCCTCCATTAAAAAGCTTTTTACACAGACTTAGAAAAAGTTATTCTGTATTGCTGCAGTAGCAAGCCTTAAGTGTTGTGATATTCATTAGATATGTCTAATAATTTGCAACTGTTGTGAAAAATGTGATATGTTTATGTTCTTGGTAATGTTGGACAAATAGATTTTAAAAAAATGTATATATTTCAAAGTTTGCTTGTTGATCCCACCCTCATTTAAAACTCTTTGTGTGTAAAGTGAATGAAGGGTTGAAGGAACAGAGCAGGTGTACTCCATGGTACTGGCTTGTGTTAGTTTTGACTTGAATAAGTAAGCACCTGCAAGAACACATTAGTATGTTACCTAAAGTAGAGAACACTTACATACCAATTAAGAGAAGCTTTAGTTTGCATCAGAAGTTAAATACTGAAAAAGTGTCCTTGTCCCCCAGTATTTGTCCCCCAGTATTTCTCCCCCTCTTCTGATTATTTTTACTTACTAATTTCAGTTGTTGGTTGAAACGTGAAATGAATGGTCTTGATGTGTTCTCTTACAGAATCTTACAAAGGCCACTTTGGTCCAATTCACTGTGTGAGATTTAGTCCTGATGGAGAGTTATATGCAAGTGGCTCTGAGGATGGTACGCTAAGACTGTGGCAAACAACAGTAGGGAAAACCTATGGCCTTTGGAAGTGTGTGGTTCCTGGTAAGTGTCTGCTTGTTCCTAGTGAAACTTGGATGCTCTGTGTGTTTTTTAAGTAACATCTATTATAAGTGATAAACATCATTGAATTTCATACAGTAACTGTACTGTCTTCTTAGTGTTTCTATATATGATTATATGTATCCACTCAAATCTGTTGGATTTAAGGATTTACTTTGGTAGATGTCATTTAAGCAATTAACTTCAAATGTGTAAGCTTACTGAATAAAGATACTTTGTGGCTATTCAGGCAAACAGTCTGATGTATGTTTAAAAGAAATATTAAATACTGTTTTTTAGAAGTTTTAGAGATAAGAATCTAAAATTTCACTAAATTAAGTGGAATTTTTTCATTAAATTTTGGGGGAGGAACTGAAGATATTGACTGCTTTTTCTTCCTTCTGCCTACAGAAGAGGAGAATGCAGAAGCAGCAAAAGCAAGGGCTACCCTTCCAGGAACTGCAGAGGAAGAAATAGGTAATGCACTGAACTGCCAACTTCAACTCAGCTAAATGTTAAAAGATAGTGACATTTGTTAGTATGGAAGAGGTAGCTTTTCCCAGGTACCTTCTGGCATTTTTCACTCTTCTCAAAAGATCTTTGAATGCATTTTCCTGAAAATGACCATGTGGTGAGTGTCAGACTACTGAATAGAGCTGAGCAGACGAACAGATGGGGTAGAGTAACTGCATCAGGTTAAATGGGAAAATAAACTGAACTGGTCTTTAATCAATCCCTGTAACATTTATTTGGTTTAAATATCTAAGATGAAATTAAGATAACACCCTTTTTATTTAATTGCAGAAGATCTTGCCTCTGAAAATTCAGATACAGTGTACAGCTCAACTCCTGAAGTTAAGGCCTGATTATTGCAACTGTTAACGCGACATACGGACATACGAGACTAAATCCAGTTACTGGTGATAAACGGCAGCCTTCCAGAGTGTGCTCTCTACATGAGGCAAAGCTGGGCAGTAATTGATGAGAATGCGGTGGAACTGGCTAGGTGTTGTCTGTAAGAACTGAGTATCCAAACAACAGGAAAAGACAAGTAGTAGAGTTCTGCTATTTCCTTAGCGTAACTGCCTACTGTCTTTTCAAAGAAGTGTGCAAGCCAAGATCCTGTCTCTCCAACTTCAGTTAGACTCATTGTAGTGTGGTGCTTTTTGTTTTTTGTTGTTTTTTTTTTTTTTCATTGTGGAGAGGAGAAACAATGGTTTTACCCACTTTTTTTTTGTTCTGTTTCATTTTCTTGAAAGTTGGAAAATTTGGCTTTATTTGAAAATGGATTATGTACTTCACCTATTTGGTTTGGGTTTTGTTTCATTGTATGCTGCTTCTGAACATTTGTTTTCAATTGTCTTAATAAAATGCCTCTCAAACCTCATATCTTAATGTTGAGTGTGGGGTTCATGGAATGGAAAAGTAACGGAATCCTTTCTAGCATTCTGGATTTCTATGATACAGAGGGAAGAAAGCGATAAGAATGTTTTAGTGTCGGTACAGACCGTGGCAAGTTCTTTAATCTGTAATCGTTGTGTCTTTTTATTCTTCGAAGTTTGAATGTAAATGTGAGTCAAATCAAAACCAGTGAACACTCCTAAATTAAACATGCTGCCTGAAGTACTTGGTTGTACCTGAAAATTTCAGAGGTTGGCTTTGAGTCTGTATAGCACTTGGGTTTAGTCCTTCAGACTGGATAAAAAAGTTACTCTTTCAAGGCTAAAAATCATATTTTCTTCATTAAAGAAAGTATTGCCATTCTTCCACTTGTCATTTCCTTTAATGTTATGCTGTAAGGTTTATATGATGCATTCTGTAAAGAAAGAAAAGTAATACAGAGGTATATTTATTCATACGCCTTTTTATTTTTAATACTCTTATGTGTCCTTGCTCTTCTATTTTTTCCTGAGAGTACAACAATGTTGTTATTGTAGAAAATTGAAGCTTAATATTTGAAAATTGAGGCATAAATTGAAAGGTGGGCAGTTATGTCTGAACATAAGAAAATGCTTTTCCCATGTGAGGGGCAGTCAAACACTGGAACATATTACTTAGGAGAGTGATGAAGTGTCTGATCTTGAACATACCCAAAACCCAATTGGATGTGACCCAAGGAAACCTGTTGTATCTGAGCCCATTTCAGCAGGTGCTTGGACTTGAGTGGTTGGCAGAGGTTCCCCTCTAGCTCCAGCTGCTGGAATGAAGGATGTGAGAAGGAATACAAGGAATGATCCTATGAATCTTTGGTTCTTAGTGCAGTAGTAGTGTTGAGGATATGTTATTCGCAGACACTATGCCAAACTTAATTTGCAGTTATCTCTGAATTCTACTCTCAAAACAACTTACAACCCTCTGATTTACAGCTAATTTTGTCAGCCTTATTTCTAACCTATTTCAGCCTAGAAGCTGTTTAAACAAGAAATTCGCACACCTCATGCTACTTAGTGCAGGCTCTAGTCTTTCTGCTTTATTTCAGTAGGCTGCACAGCATTCCACAGAGACTGGAATAGCATCCTCGGATTTCAGAGCTGTGGCCATTCACTGCTTTAAAACGATGCTGTCTTGAGTTTGTGATTTCTTTGCTAGCCATGTGAAAAGACAGCTGAAATCATCTGTTACCTAAATGAAAATATTAACAGTGCGTAATACTTTTTTTCATGTGAGTTTGTGTCATCACAACTAGCTAAAGGAGGCTGTGATGTTGTCAGTGGCTTGTTACCGGACTTAGATTTTTCAGGTGTTACGAGGAAGTTTTACAAGGTTGGTAAGTTACAGAGCCTGTGGTGTGCACGTGTAACCCTAGTTTTTATTTGAAGATTCGACTCGAAGGAATGTTAATTTGCCTGGACTCCGTACCATCAAGAAGGCAGCTCGGGTGTTACTTATCCTTAAAGGAGCAGAACATCCTACAGCAGCTCCTCCCGCCGGGCAGCAGTCTCCCCCCGGAGGCTGAAGGGTGGCGGTAGGTCTTGGCTGCCTCGTAACCAGTCTCTCTGCAACACCGCCTCGGCACTAACGCGGTGGCGGCGTGGGAGCGCCGTGCCCGCCCGCCCCCGCCGCTTCCTGCCTGTGCGGGGCGGGACCGGTGAAGCCGATGTCCGCCCGCCCCGCTGGGCCGTAGAGAGCCGCCGGGAGCGCGGGCCATGGCGGGGAGAAACCCAGGCACGAAGCTGGGTAAGGGGCGGCGGCACGCGGGGAGGGCGCTGTGGAGCCGGGCCTGGCCTCGGCTCCTGCGTAAGAGCTGCTGGCTGCGGAGCCGTGGAGTGAGGGGTTCCCGAGGCGGCGGCGGCGGCGGCGGATCGGGAGCGCTGCTCGGGCAGGGCCGGCCGCACGCACTGGGACCAGGCAGAGAAGAGCCGGTGAGGCCCCGGACGGCTCCCGGCTGTAGGGTCGGCGCCTCTGCCGCAGCCGACCCACTCAGTGCGTATAAGCAGGCTGCTCCAGACCCTTGCTCTTATGGGAAGCCGAAATAGAAACAGACAGGAGATTCCCTTAGCATATCATACACCAGTGACATACAGGCTTGTTGGAGACTTGTTTTCCCTTTGGTCCTCCAGGTTGAACAGCGATTGAGGTTTCACCATCTCATAGGTCTTCGGCTTGAGAGGCTCCGAGCAGGGCACGGGGCTGTGGGACTCAGCAGTCCTAGTCCTGTTATAAAGCTGGGCCTCGTCCCCTCTTGATCACTTTTGTGGTTCTCACTGAATAAACCTCTTCCCTTCTTTCTCCCCAAGAGGCTCAAACCACTTTTTATTAGTTGGATTCTGATTTGCAAACTGGGAACTTTAACTCTCCTTATTGTTCTCCCTGTTGCTTGCTCTCTGAATACCAGTAAGGATTTTGCAGGTGGTTTCCAAGCCCACATAAGTGTCTGTGCCAGAAGGAAGGGCAGAGAGCAACCATGAAAGGATTTCTCTGCCATTTCTAGTTGGAGCGCCTCTTCTGCTGATTGCTTGGGATAGGGACAGAGAAAGGGCTGCAGCTTTCTGACTTCCCCCAGCAAACTCTAACTGCAGTGGTGGGATGAATTAAGATGATTAGCCTTCCTGCAGTCTGCATTTGAGATACAATAATTTGGTTAATATGAGCAGATGGCTAATTAAGTGAAGCAGGTACAGGGGTGGCATCATGGAAGATGGGCAGCGAAGGACAGCTGGTGTGGAACAGGTTGATCTCAATCGGTTAGCAAGAGCAGAGTTCAGGAGTCCATGCTGCACTGTCATGTGGCTGTGCTCGTCTCTAGCACGAGCTTGCGTGTTTTTACAGAGCAGTTAAATGATTAGCCTGTGGACAACTGAGTTGACTGCATTTTCATTCACCAGAATCCTTGATATGCTTTAACTCCTGAAAGTGAGCTGTCAAATTGCTCTCTGATGTGCTTATTCTTGGGTTGCTTGCAGGGACATACGAGTTTCAACCGTAGCCATCTGAACAGCATCTTTTTGCTGAAGCAAACATTAATAATGCAGTGGCAAAACGTCAACATCTGTTAGGAAAAACTGGCATGAAAGTTTGCAAAAGCACTCCAGTTACTTTAAACTAGGTGCATGTTTTGCTTTTTCTTACTGTAAATTTAATGTTACAATTGATTGTTGGTATGTGGGAAGAACAGAAACTTGAGTATGAAGTCAGTTCAGTTCTTATCAATAGTCATCCTCTGACAGATGGGACATGTCAGGAAGGCTGTGCTGCCAAGTGGGAAATTATTGAAAGAGACAGTTGACCTCACTAATATTTGGCCGGGTGTTCCTGTACATCCTTAGTCAAGGGAGAAGTATTCAATCTGCACCTGACTAGCACATCATACTTGTTTTTGACACCACTGAAGTAGTCTTTGAGTATGTTCCAAGTACTTTCTGTAACTCTTCTAAGTAGCCCTCCCCTGCTCAAAATGGAGAGCACAGAAGGTTGGATGTCTTCAGGGCTGCACTATGTGGCCTCTTCCAGCTGCAGATTTACCTGGAAAGGCCACAGTCCTCACTTTATCCACAGGTGCTTGTTGCCATGCATTCCCAATGATCTTCGTTGAAATAATTTGCAGTCAAAATAGGGAACTGCAGGTGTTTATAGTCTTGAGAAGAGAAGGCTCGGGGAGGACCTTTAAAATTACCTGAAAGGAGGATGGAATGAGGAGGTGGCTGGTTTCTTCTCCTAAGTAACAAGTGACAGGATAAGAGATAACAGCCTCAAGCTGTGCCAGGGGAGGTTTAAATTGGATACAAGGGAGAATTTCTTCACCCAAGAGGGTGATCAGGTATTGGAACAGGCTGCCCAGGGTAGTGGTGGAATCGCCATCTCTGGAGGTGTTCAAAAACTATGTAGATGAGGCCTTAGTGACATGGTTTAGTGGTGGACTTGGCAATCCTGTGGTGATGGTTGGACTTGATGATCCTAAAGGTCTATTCCAACCTAGTTGATTTTATGATTCTATGATCGGGGTTAGGTGTGCAGGACAGGCATGGTAGGGGAACAGTGTGGCCATCACTACATTTGTATTAAGCAGTAGCATACCCACTGTATCTGTTTCTAACAGCTGCCTTATGCTGGCTGCTTTAAAGGGAGAACTGAATCTCCCTGCCCTTTGCTCTCCCACTAAATATACATCTGAAGTATGTGAAGTGCTGTGTTTAAGTAAGTTGCTGCATCTTACTTGGTGCTGTATCTTAGCTGGTAGCAATGCTCAAACTGAGCATGTTAAACCCTTGCCTTTATCTGTCATGGCTGCTAGCAATACACACTGCTTCTGTGACTTAGGCACTTTGGCTTTTCAAGGTTTTGCCAGCTTGTGCAAGCGGCTTTAACAGTAATTCAGGTGATTTGCCCTGTATCTCACAGAGCATTCTGTAGGATTATATTCTTCTAACAGGGACACCTAGTGGTAAAATGTTTTACTTAAAAATGTATTACTTGAGTCTTTTTCTCTGTGCTTGCTATTTCTGTGCTTGCTACCTAATGTCATCATTTAAGCAGTAAATTTCTGATGCTGCTATTAGAGAACATCTTTTTGTTTATCAGTGACATGCCAAACTCTTCTCAAATAATTACATGTAATGCTCTCCCATGTGATTTTTAATAAATACCTTTTTTGTAAAAGTCCTTAATTCATCCTTTCTTTCTGTCTTTCTTCTTATCACTATCCCTTAGTAGCAGAAGGTGTTTACTTGGAGTAAAGAACCAGTACATTATAGCACAGATAAAAAGACACTGATTTGCATGAACTAGTCAGAGGGTCACCAGTCTAATGCAGTGATACATTTGCCAGCAAAAAGTCATGTAAATGAGGTGGATAAGGAATTTTACAAGTTTGTCATTTCACAGGGTCTGCTTGAGAGGTCATTCTTGAGTGTTCAGGTTCACCATAATGCTGCAGGGGCTGAAAGGAGTCTGCCTCTCCTTCTCTGCTCCCAAGGATGATGGGACTATCACAGACAGGTGATACAGGTGCTTCATGTTTTGTCACATTTCACAAAAGCATCAGATGCAGCATTTTAGTGCCACTTCACAACAGAATAGCAAAACGCATCAATCAGTATCTGTTTTGTAGTGTAATCTAGTAGCATATTCCTTTGGTTTAACTGCAGGGATGCAGATGTCTTCCATGTGGGTTTTCTGTTCCCTGCAGACAGAATTTTGATGCAACAACTTCAGAAGTCATGGAGAAGGAAAGATACTGAGTAACCTTGGGTAGAGACAGAAGATGGCAAGTAGGATGTTTAAAACCAAGCAGCTAACACAGCTGATGTGCATGGAGCCTGAGTGTGTGCCTAGATACAAGTCTACCATTCAGTAGAGGTGGTGGAATCTAAATCAGAAAGGGGAATGGCCTGAACCACAATACAGGGTTGTGTGGTAGAACAACAGCAGGATTACCAGTCACACAGGTCTACTGTTTATTGCATAGTAAAAGGGTAAATCCTGCCTGACCAACCTAATTGCTTTCCATAGTAAAACGAGTGCGTATTTTGACAAAGGGAGAGCAGGGGATGTTGGTTTACTTCAATTTTAGCAAGGTTTTTGACACTCTCTTTTGCAATAGCTCATATCCATGTTGGAACTTTTGAATGGATGAATACTGAAATGGTTAAAAACATGATTGGATGGTGGGGCTGACAAGGTGATGGTAAGTAGGTCATACTCTAGTTTGAGGCTGGTACTTAGTAGGGTAATGCAGCGCTCTACCCTGGGACCCTTCTCACTTAACATTTTTTTTCAGTGACTAGAAGAGGTGATGGACTGCTTGCTCGTAAAGTTTACAGATGTGACTGAATTAGCCAGATCATTCAGATGGACCCGGACTGGCTGAGAAAGAGGATCAACAGAAAGCCAGTGACATTCAGTAGGGCTGAAGGCAGAGCCCTGCCTTGGGGAGGATGTGCCCTGTTAGCCACAAGGGCTGTGTCTGCCTCCCTGGGGAGCAGCTCTGCTGAAAGGACCCAGGGCTGGTGCACAGTGAGGTGGGCACAAGCAGCAGTGCCCCAGCAGTAGGGATGGCCAATGGCATCCTGGGCCATGCTGACGGGGACACGAGCAGATGTAGCTCGTGGGAAGAGAGGAATCATCCTCCCTGCTCAGCACTTTTTAGGCCGTATCTGGAAGGCTGTTCCCAGTTCTGTTGCCCCCCAACAGGAAAAAGAGATTGATAAACTGCCACAAGTTCAGCAGAGGGTCACCAAGATGGCCAGAGGGAAGTATTCATATTCATAGAATAGTTTGGGTTGGAAGGGACCTTCAAAGGTCATCTTGTCCAACCCCCTGCAATGAGCAGGGACATCTTCAACTAGACCAGGTTGCTCAGAACCACATCTAGCCTGACCTTGAATGCCTCCAGGGATGTCTCCAGATCCACCAGCTCTCTGGGCAACCTGTGCCAGGGTTTCACCATCCTCATCATAAAAAATGTCTTCAATATATTTAGTCTGAATCTCCCCTCTTTCAGTTTAAAATCATTACCCCTTGTCCCGCCTCAACAGGCCCTGCTGAAAAGTCTCTCTCCATCTTTCTTACAGGCCTCTTTTAAGAACTGAAAGGCTACAATAAGGACTCCCCTGAGTCTTCTTTTCCTCAGGCTGAACAACTCTCTCAGCCTTTCCTGATAAGAAAGGTGCTCCAGATCTCTGATCACTTTTGTAGCCCTCCTCTGGACTCTCCAAGAGGTCCATGTCTTTCTTGCACTGAGGACACCAGAACTGCACACAGACTCCAAGTGGGGTCTTGCCAGAGCAGGGTAGAGGGGCAGGATCACCTCCCTTGACCTTCTGGCCTTACTCCTTCGGACGCAGCCCAAGATAAGATTGGCTTTCTGGGCTGTGAGCGCACACTGCTGGCTCATGTTCTTGTATTCTAAAAAAGTAAAAACCTATCTGTGTTGCTCAGCCCCTCTAGTTGAAGGGCCAGAAATACATTCATTATGTTTCAATTGATACTTTTAATTATAGTTGGTATTTCTGAGCCATTTACGTGTGAGAGCTAGCCTGTTGGTAAGTGGCATTTAGATAATGAAGTGTTGCATCCCTTTTCAAGACAGCGTAATTCTGTTCTAATATATTAATAGATGGTTTTAGCCTGTACTGTGGCTCTGTTTCTTCACCGATCCATTCTAACACCTTTTGAATCTGCTGAATATTTTAATCAAATTTGAAGGACATCTAGATGGCTCAGAAATAAGTAAGTTGCTGGATGGAGAGACCAGATTAGTTCTTGTGTTGAGGGGAAGGCAGGCATAGTTCAGCAATTACATGAGTTTTCTTGACCTCTTTTTTGGGGGGAAGACTACGGGCAGTTTACACAACTAACAAGGTCCTGTTTACTCCATGATCACAAGGACCATAACAGGACAACTGGGTTATTGGGGTTAGGAGCCGTTTCTGGAGCCAGTGAAGAAGAGAGGGAGCAGCAGAGGACCTGGACCTGCAGGAAATCAAGCTCCTGTTGTCCTGCAGCTTGCTTTCTGAGGAGAGGTTTGTCAGTGGGTTTCAAAGTGCTTTGGAGGATGCTGTGATCTATTTCATGTGATCCATGGTGATTTCACTAATATCACAAGGTAGTAGAGCTGATTTCTAGTTCAGGGCTCATGCCTTTGTGTCCTGCTTTGAGTATCTGAAAGCTAATGACTTGGAAACTGAACTTCTCTCATATAAGGAAAATAAGAGGTCCATAGCAAAAGTCACTATGGAAAAATAGCTATAGCTTCTGTCTTGAAGAAACTGAATAACCCTTAAGCCTCTAAACAGCTTACGTGGTAAGATAACTGTACAATGCCTGATCCTGAAACCTTTTCTCTCTCTTCAGTGGCTTTGCTCAGCTCTGGGTGGCCAGCTGGGGTCAGCCTGTGTCCAGGTGAACACCTCATTTCTCCGCTAAAGGTTCAGGACACAGTTTCACTCGCTTCTCTATAAATAACAGCTTTCATCGCTTCCCTTACCCATTTTATCATGTGTTCATGGTAAGAGCAGGAGCACACATGCTGTTTCTGGCACGGAGGAGGAAATAACCAGTTGGGAGGGGCAGCTTCTTTTGGGGACAGTGCTGCCTTAAAATGCTTGTGAAGTTACTGCCTCAGGCATCCTTGAGCTTTCTGTTCCACCATCTGAAGGGATGCCATCTACACATTTTTTTTTAAGCTTCTGAAGAGCTTAGTCTGTTTTATGAGGAATGTGTTAGCTATCTTAGATATTTATGTAATTATACTAATGAAGTGGGTTTATTTATTGTTTTCCGAGGAAATGCTTGGTATTTTTGGATTCATGTTCTGCGAAGAGAGGAGATGAATTTCCTGTTGAATATGATTTTTTCAAATGTCTTTGGAGAAAAAAAGTAAACTTGAAGAGTGATTACAGAATATTGGCTAATTAGCTATAGTGTAACTGCTTTAATTACTTTTATCCGTGAAGCCACATGACTGTGCAGATGACTAGCAGATGACTTATTTAAAAAAAAAACAAGAAAGAAAAAAAAAAAGAGACGTGTTCACACTGCAAGGTTAATGAGACTAATTAAATATAGTTTTCCTTAGCCAGATACTAAATCCTAAAGCTTGGGGGACTGGGGGAGGGGGAGAATCCAAAAGCAGGCAGTGCTATTTCAAATAATGGTTTTATTCTGATTTTTAATGCAAGCAGGGGAAAAAAAAAAAAGCTGGAATTGAGTGATATTTTTGAATACAAACACATTCAAAGATTTTATGAGACCTCACATGGCAAACTTTGAATGTCTATTTAGAGACAATTATGCTGAGACATATATGTTTTCATTTGCCCACTGCTTTAATTAATGGAGAAGTGGGCTTGAATAAAAGGTCTGTGTTAGATAGAAGTCCCCATCTGCTCCTTCATATTAACAGAACCTTTGTCCTTCTTTGCCTTGGATTTTATTATTTACGCCATTTTATATCCTTTAGTAAACTGCATAATGTCTCACATCGAGTTCTGCAGACAGGATGGAGTTCTCATTTTTTGTTAGATATTTTATTCTTTTTTTTAAAAGTTTTCTTCAAAACTTTATTTTCTGTGCACAGTGGTTTGATACCCCACAGTCAATAAAAAACAAATCCTTGGGGATCCAAATCCTGTGGTCTTTCAAGGAAACTTGAATCTCAGGCACAAAAATTAGATATTAGACCTTACTGAGTTGCCATGTGTTGGCTGCCTTCATCGCTAGCCTTGAGTTATGGAAAACAGAGGGTAAAATGTGTTACATAGTGTGTAGGGCTTAAGCCAATGTAGAGGTTTCACTAGTTTATATTTCAGCTAGTGATCTTTATTTCTTGATACTCAAAAAGAAGGAAAGTAGCCATTGGTTTTGTAGCAATAGCTTTTCTCACCTACTTTCTACATCAGATAAGCTTCTTGCTTTTGGGACAGAATAGGTAAGCCTGTGGCTTTGAAAGTGGGGAAGAGAAGTGAGGGTTTGTTGTTCAGCTGATTGAGACTTTGCAAGCTCCTCTTTTTCTTTGTCACCGTACAGTGAGGCTGAAGCTAAAGTGACACTAACAAAATCCTTAAACTCATTAGGATTCATTTGAGATTCTTTTTTAGATTTACTTTTTCTGATTTTGCCCAACATTTTGATGTTGTAGGTATTGCTCATTTAACTACTTTCATGTCCTAATAGGGAAGTGGAAGCATGGTGGCTTAGAGTGCTCAGAATGTCTTGTTTAGCTATGTTTCATGCCTTTGTCCTGCATTTCCATTGAGTTATCTTTATCCTAAAGTGGCTTCTCGAGAGCTTTTTGAAAGTCTAATTAGGAAAACAAGCTTGTATTTACACATAGTTCAGCTAGTGTATTAGTTCTGCACTATTGAAGTATGAAGTAGGAAGACAAAAAATTAGGATAAGATTTCTGCACAAAATTAGTGATTTTTGGCTATCGGATTTTTTTTTTCCTTAATGTTTTAAACCTTTTTAATCAACATGCTTGAGGGAAATGCAAGTTTAATACAGTGGTAAAGGCTCATAGGGACAATATGCTCTTAATAAATTGTCACACAGAATTATTATCTCTTAGTATCTAACCCCATGTCCATATACTGATGTTAAGTGATGATGATACTTGATGGTGGTGATTTGCTGATGATTGGTGGTTAATGATTGTGGATGTTGTTCAGAGTATTTTCATGGATTGCTGATATGATTAGTGTTTGGAAGAATTAGTTTTGGGATATGAGGGGTTTTAAAGATATTCTGATCTCTTTTTTGGGTGTACTTACATGAGCAGTTTTTGTTTATTAATATTCAAAATTACACCTTTGGTTTATCATACTAAGCAGAACTTTAAAGATTCATGAACCTGGATCCTGATTTCTCCTTTATCCATCAATTACCCTTTGTTAAGCAGTGTCCCTTCTGGTTTTAGACAATTTCATTGTTTTAGTAAATGTTGAGCATCAGCTTGTCTCTAGATACGGTTGTTGTTTATGGATACTGAAACTCATTGAAATTGTGAGCCAGACTCCCTGCAGTGGGCACTTCAAGGAATTCACACATGTAACACCTTGCTCAGAGTCCTCTGGAGTGCTTGGCAAGGTGAACACTTCTTGGGCAGGCATGCATCTCAGCAGCTTCTAGGTAGGTATGTTGCCCAGGAATTCAGTGCTTTTGGAAACTTGCAGTTATTCCACTTAATCAGCCTCTAGTAGCAAATTCAGTAAAATTATCTCTAGACAATAAAATCCAAGTGCTTTGTTATGCAAGGGTCTGTCCAGAAGTTTTCATGACCATGTGGGGTACAGTTCCTGTAAATAAGGATTGAAGCACACAAAATTGCTGTTGCATCCTGGGTGCCACCAGACAAGCAAAGGATTGACTAAATGTTACCATATTATGGAATCCTAAAGTAAATCATCAAGCAGTGGCAGAAGGCTGTTTTGTGGATTTTTTTTTTTTAATATGCTACATGTTTAAAAAAACCTCATAGTCCAGGACTTCAACGTAGTGTCTCTCATCAACTGTAATTCAGTTGTAATGACAAACAAAACATGCTGTTTGAAACATCCAGTTCACAGATCATACCCTAACAGAAGTTAATGCTATTATGGTATCTTGGATGAGTGGTAAGTACTCAAGCCCTTTAAAGTACATGGAAGCACAACATGCTCTTCAGAGGGTCCAAACCAAGCTACAACTTTCTACTGAAGTCCCACACCATATATTAAAAGGACACAGAAATAGATAAGACTTTTTTTCTTTTTCCACTCCAGAACTTGGCTGGATCTCAAAAGTGTATGTGAATCGACCTGAAGTTGTGAGGCATGCAGAACAAATTAAAACATGGAGCACTGTGAAAGGTAATTGGCAAGTAAGTGCTCTTTTTATGCATTCTGTTCCTGTATTTTTAAAGCAGTCACTCTCCTTCTCCAGGCTGCAATATTGAATTTTTTTCAAGATACATGTAAACTTAAAAGATGTGCTTGTCCATGTCTTATTTTAATAATTTGTATTTGATGATGGTGGGATGGAATAAGGTGATGCATTTATCCAAACAAGTTAAAAACCTTATAACTCATGAGTGGCAAAACCTCAAATGAATTTAAGTCATCTTTATTCATGAGTGGATTAAATTGTATATTACTATCCTACCACATTTATTCTATTTCCCAGACAGACTTCTCTGCATGCTGACTTCTTATTTTTTAATTTTGAAGCTGTAAGATGTGATCATGGTCCCTGTCAAGTTTGACCTACCTGGATGATTTTTCTTTACTAAAACATCCCCAACATGTGTGATTTCTTTTCTTAAGTAGTTCTTACCTAAAACTCAAAAATTCTAACAAACAAGCTATGGCACTCAGGGGTGGGAGGGGAAAGAGCCTACTACCATTAAAGGGACTGACATTTCAACTCCTCAGATAAGGTAAATGATTGGTTATTTTCTGTCTAATATAAAATAGGTTCACATAAACTATTGCTAAAGCCAGTGGTGCAAATCAACTTCTTTTCAAGGCTGACTTGTATTCATTGACACACACGTTCAAGCTGTCTTGGCAGTTACCTTCAACCTCTGCTGATTGCTGCCCTCCTGACAGAATTGACAGATACTGGCCTGGTATGCATTTTGGTTTCTCCAGTTTGTACATGAAAATCGTACTCAAAACCATCAGGTCAGCAGCGTAAGTTAGTGTGTTCTGCAAAGCAGAGTGAGTCATGGCCATGTGGTGGCTTCTGCTGCCCCAGTGTCAGGACAGGAAGGGGAACAGCAAGCAGCTGGCTGCAGGATGTCGTGAATGCTTTGGCAGCCTTCAGCCAAGGGCAAGGTGTGAAAAAAAGCCATACATCAGACCAGGAGGTCCCAGTGAGCTCTCAACTTTGTTCCAAAGGACAAATTGATTCCTCATTCACCAAACAGCTGTTCTGCAAGCAAATATGTGTGATTCCTCCCCTCTGCCTGCTAAATAAGTCATTTACTTGCAACAGTAACTGAAAACCTGAGAGTGGGAGGAAGGGGACAATAAAGGATCGGTCTTAACAGTGCAACATATTAGAATAAAGCAAGAATCATTTAGCTGTACCTTAATTCTTAAAAAAGCTGCTCAAAACAGTTGGCATCCTGAGCTTAGCATGTCAGGCAGCCATTCTGCGATGACTGAAGCTGCGTTCACAATGAATGCAGATGTTGTAGATGATGGCTGGGGGTAATTTGATGTAGCTGTAAGATCCTACTGGAAGATGATAGAAAAAAAAGCTTCCTACCTGTTATGTGAACCTGAAAATTTGGGCTTTGAATGTGATGATTAAATAAAAAATGGTTATAAACTAGGCAAGTTAGACTCCAGCTCAACATTTCTTCAGTTTCTTATCTATAAAAAGGTCACTTGATACCAAGTTTAGCAGTCTAGTAGCTCTGGGTTAGGAAATGGTGTCAGTGAGAAAATCCAGAGGATATTCCACAATCTGGTCTATTGTCAAGTACTGCAGGTACAGTAATAAAAAAATAAGTCTGCTGATCTGACCAAAGTTACTGTATAAAGAACAAAGACACAGAGAGCCACAGGCTTTGATTACAAAGAATTGTGGGGAAGAAGGACATTTAGTGTCACTCCCTCAATATGGCTGTAGGACAAATGTTTAATTATTACTAATGCTTCTGCAATCTCCTGTGTAGTAACACTGATACTGAACTACTCAAGTAAGTTTTGCTTTGAAGAATACCAGAAGCATCTCTCCTGTATTTGAGCACTGTCATTGCAGGATAGTTATGTGCTGTTTATTTTACAGGGGTGGTTTTGAACCTTTACATACTTGAGGTTAAGCAGCTCCACAGATTCAAATTTGGAGCCCATTTCCAAATACACATCTGAAAACCCCTTTTTTAAAAGAACGAAGTTCATACCAGGTCTTGGAACTCCTTGACTACATTTGCCTCAATGACTTTATGATTCATGTCACAAGAGATGAGGCAGAAATTCCTTTGAAGGAAAGACAAAAAAAATCCAAGTAAAAGAAACTAAAAACCATTTAACATGAAAACGCCCTTTGAAGGATTAGAGAGTGAAAGTAGAAATCAGTTAGAAACAAACAGTCAGGCTTTGACTAACAGAGGCTGGTAACGGTTCATTACTTCGTTCAGTCACCCCAAAGCAGCTTTCAGTGTAACATTTACTGAAAGTTCAGAAAGGAGACTCCTGTCAGCGAAGTGTGAAAGGTTTGTAGGCTGGCCAGCCACTTAAGGTTTTCAGAGTAATACCTCCATGAAGAAACAAGTTTTGCTGCCTATCAGTGTCAGAGGGCAGTCAAAGAGGAGCTTTATGGACTTCAATGGACTTTGCTATTGCAAACTCTCCCCTTGCTGAACATGTGCACACTAGGAGATGTCAGCTTTTTGCAAAGCCATCGCTGTAAATGAGAATTTTCTGGAAGACCTTCAACAAATATTCCAAAATAATGTCTTGAGCTCAATTTTTATTCAGCAAAATTCTGTAGCATTTTCATCTAAAAAGTGCTAACTTTTTTTTTCCCCACCAAATATTTATTGGTGTTTTTTGTTCCCTATTCACACAGAAGAAAGTGGAAACATCTGGAGTATAGACCCTAAGTTTTAAGAAGTCTGGATTCTTACCCCCCACTGATTCCGTGTTTCACTCTCACAGCAGGAGAAGCATGCAGATGTGCAAGTGTGCAAATTGCTGATGTGTAGACTCATCTGGTTACTGGCAGTTGCAGACCTTGTGCATACAAGCCTTAAAGACACAGACATTTTTTATAGAACGGGCCATGTTATAACAGTGAAGTTCCTTACATAGGTGGTGTTTTCATCTTTGTCTTACATAATTAAATTTGAAACAAGATGCTTTTTATCATGGTAAAAATGTTTGATTCTTACAGAGTTCCATTTGGTAGTTAGTATTTGCACCAAAATCTGGAGTTTGATCCTTTGATTTTCAGAGAATGGACTTTTGGTTCCAAATACTCTCTAGCATTAGATACTGCTCAAGACATGAACAAATATCTACCACCTCTGTCCTTCATAAACCATGCTTTGCATATCCTCTATGTTTCCTCATATCCCATATGTTTTCTCATTCTTGAAGTGAGATCCAGGCTTCTGATTCCTGCATCTTTTAAGTGAGTTTGGCTTTGGAAGCATAAACTGAAATACCATATTCCTTTCTTCACTCCCTTTGTAGGCTGCTTGGCTGCTGAAAGCTGTCACCTGCATAGACCTTACCAGTCTTTCAGGTGATGATACTCCTTCGAGTATTCACAGACTGTGTTTTAAAGCAAAGCATCCCATCAGAGAGGATCTGCTGAAAGCCTTGGACATGCATGATAAAGGTATGGTACTTTTTATTGTGTGTATTTTGTAGAGAAAATGTCTACATTTCCTCATTGTTCAATTTTCAGAAAGTGGTAAAAATGACTCTTCTTCCTGTAATGAAAGGAGTTATGATAGGGAGCCCTGCAGAAATAATTGTCCTGAGAGAGCAAATTAGGTTCTATATGATCTTATTCAAAGCAGCTGTCTTAAGTTCTAACTGCTAAATATGTATTCCTTTGAGTTAATATAAGACTATAAGGAGAAAAAAATCCATTCTCTGTTTGGCAACCAAAGTGGAGAATGGACTTAGGGCAACTCTAAGTTATGATAGCTAATGAGCAAATTTGATGTGGAAGCTGCAAGTGTGTAACCTCAGTGTATGTCTTTTAATAACAGTGCACTGAGGTGAAACTGAGTATACTGTTAATCTGCTGATGTCATTAGTAAAATGGTGAAGGGGAGAGTGTTCATGGGAGTCCTCTGGATTTCATGCTTAGCTGCTGTTTCTGTAACTACTGAGCCTGCCACTTTGCCTGTCAAAAAGATGCATTCCACAGTCCTAAGCATCTTGTTTTTCCTTCAGAATACTTTATCTGCTTTTTTCAGTAGTTAAGATAGGAGACATCTTTGCAGTCTGGTCTATAAGGAAATAATCCTGTAATGGTGGTTGTGTGCATGTCACATATACACATATGTACACACACAGGATTCCCAGAGTTGAAGTCAACCGAGTTGAAGGGGTAGAAGACAGCCCTAAAGAACTAGTGGTAAAACTTTAATTGTCATTACTCAAGGAGGCTCCATCTGAAATCCCAGTGTTGTACACAAGGCTGACCACAGTAAAATTTTGGAGCTAATTGAGACTGTCAATATAACTATCAATAAAATCTCTTTACAGCTGAGCACTGTTTCTGAATTTTTCCACATGTAATCACTGATGTATCAGTGAATACCATTTGACTTTGGTCTTATGATGATCTAACAAAAAGAAAATCCCAGCGACATTTGGGGCATGCTTTTACTGTTGGTATATTTCAGTTTTATATGGACATTGGCCCACTGATTGAAGACATATGATGTGGAACCAAAATGAAATCAGGCCTCTGGTTTTAAGCCATAGACATAAAATACCAAAGATTAGTCTTACTTGAAAACTTTGATTTATGGACTCTTCAGACAGGTGAAGTATTAAAAATCAGGTCAATTATCTGAGACTTTGAGAGAACAGTGTTTTAACTAGAAATGCAGTAGAACTTCATTAACATAAAGACTGCTCAGTTGCTGCTGGGCTTAGTCTGGCTCAACAAGGACAGAGCTTGGCAGTGTGGTTTCTCTTGCAGTAATTTTCTGACTAAGCATGTCTTAACTGTACGTGTTGGCATTAAAAAGTGAATCTATCTATAAAAATCTTGGCATTTTAACTCCTGCTAATGCAAACTTGCTTCTAGGGTCAGATGAGTGAACATGAGGGCGGTAACAATATGGAGAATTACCTGAGCAGTTTGAGCAATATAACAGACATCTCCAGTGTAGGTCCTTAAGATCTGTGTGAGAATGCAGAAGTGGGAGGTGAGAGCAATGCACACATGCTCATAATGTGATTGCACTTGAGAACGTGGAAATCTAGATAGAAAAAGTGAACTGTAGCTTTTGCAGGTATTACTGTCGGAGCAGTTTGTGTATATCCTGCAAGAGTCACCGATGCTGTTAATGCCCTAAAGGTTGCTGGCTGTAACATACCAGTAGCTTCAGGTAAGCTTTATTCAAAAATATCCTGTTAAATATATTGATGCTATAAAATAGGTAGAAAGATCTAGCAATTTGGACTTGCTTTTGTTTCAGAGTATAAGGTAGAAAGGTGGCAGGTGGAAGGAAGGGAATGGAGGGGAGAATTGCTTCTGGTATAATCTTTTGTTTTCCTTCAAGCTTATCAGGAATGCCAAATCCATTTTGCTGGAAGCTCTTCAAAGAGGTCCTTAAGATATATCACTATTTTCCTCATCCAAATAGAAAAAATTGAGATAGTGTGTGGGACAAAGTAACAGTAGACACTAAGTCCATAACAACAATAATAATAATAATAATAATGATGCAGTATGAGCTTTAGGAGTTCTAATACACTTTCCCCCCTACCCCCCATCAGTTGTTTGTCTTTTAAGTGTAATCCTGTGTCATGGTTTAACCCCAGCTGGCAACTAAGCACCACACAGCTGCTTGCTCACTTCCCCTCCCCAGCTCTTCTCCACTCACCACACGAGAGACAAGTCTTGAATCTACAATAAGCAAAAAATAGAATCAAAGAATTATGCAGGTTGGAAGAGAGCTCTGGATGTCATCTGGTCCAACCTCCTGTTCAAAGCAAGAGCTAACTTTGAAGTTAGATCTGGTGTTTAATGCGAAGATCCATGTGTGTTTTTTTTTGTTGTTGTTTCATTGTTATGTAGAGGAAAAAAATGTACTAAATGCATTTATATGTCAGAGACAAAGAGGATCTTGAAAAAGCCATTATTTTTTCCATTTACAAAGTTACCTTTGGGTTTTCTACTTAAACATCATAAACATAATCTGAAGTAGACCTCATTGAAAGCAATTTTTGCTATCTTTTAGCTGTTAAACATATTACTAGGATTTAGCTTGAAATACTACTTAAAATAATTGGAAAGAATTAAAAATGTATGTATTGCTTCATCTGTGAGCTCACTCCTTGTTTGCTCAATTCTGCTGGAAGCAACAGATATCGTGCTTTCTTATGTAGTCTGCTTTGGAAAATATTAAGGCATGTGAAAGAGACCTTTTTGCAAGGTGCACTTAGTATCTTGCTGGACATTGGCTCTTGAGGAAAGAGCTAATGTTTCTTGTGGATGAAGAGAGGGTAGGATGAGATGTCTTTAGATTGTTTGGATTATGTTATGGATAAAAAAATAAAACAACTTTCAAACTCTTTGGTGTATTAGAGGTATATGCAATTTTATGGTCAATTTATAAAACATTTTCTTTCCTCTACCTGCATTCCCATTCTTGCTAGTGGCTGCTGGGTTTCCATCTGGACAAACTCTTCTAGAAGTCAAACTGGCTGAAATAAAGCTGGCTGTGCAGTATGGTGCTAGAGAGATTGACATTGTCATTAGCAGGGCTCTGGTGCTGACTGGCCAGTGGGAAGGTAAGTATCCACCCTTTGGCAAGGAACTTAAACCTCTGTATCTGCGCGTGCAAGCTCTGTCTTTATCTCTTCCTCAAGTCTCCATATTGGTCTTTGAAATTTTGTCCCTCCCCTAAAAGTAATTGATAATCTGGGGCACTGAACTAAATAAAAGGTATTTAATTTATGAAGAATGATTGCATTATTTTAAAAAATGCTGTTACAAGCGCTGTCAGGCTGGGCATGCAGAATTACTTTGTGTTTTGAAAATTCACAGGTATTCCTTCTATGTCTTTAGAGGATTTTGTTTGCAGAATTAAAAAAAAAATAGCAAATGAAACGGAAGTGAATGTCTAATTATTTGAACAGTTTTGTTAAAACTCCCAAGGGACGCCTAATGTAGATGATAGCTCGTTAAATATACAAATTCTTGACAAAAATATGTATTTTACTTATTTTTCGTGAAAGTTGAGGGTACAAATTGACTGCTCATATTATTATTGATGTTCTTGGGTCTGTAGACTACTACTAATTAGTAAGAACAATAATGCTGAAGATGGTTTTTGCTCTAATTGCCTCCTTAATGTAGTGTGAATGGTTTGCCTGAAGTGCTGACAATGCTACTGTAAGTAATCTCAATGTGAAGGTAAACACATCATTGTCTTGGAATGAATTTTCCATTTAGTTGTATAATGCAGTGCTTAATGGTCTGTTTGCCTGGAAGATTTCATAAAGGATCCCTGGGACCTGAGTTTGGTTAAGGAAATAAAATTATCACGGTAGCAGATCATATTATCTGATTTTGGTCTTCCTTCAATTAGCAGTTAGAACTGAACCAAAAGGCCCTCATGTTTCTGCATCTGTGTCTTCAGGACTGATATTCTAGTTTCCATTTCCACACCTTGACCTCTTTTGTAGTACTTACCAACTCCACCCTTTTGCTCTTAAATATATGCAGCTTTACAAAAATTTGACTTCTTGACATTGTTGCAGGCATTTGTTTCATTCAGCGTGGCTGTTTTATATTCAGGGACGGCCTCAGAAATTGCTGTAAAGTGGAGACTGGGTGATTGAGTGGTTTTAAATAAGACAGAATGTTGGTTCTGTACCAGCTGGCAGCAATACTGTATGTACACCTTCCTACAGTATATCTTCGTTAGCGTTTACACACTGTAGTCTACAAACCAGCTCCCCCCTCCAGGAGCTGTGCTCTGCTGGGTAGATGTATTGATCTTGGATACAAAGTCAGCAGAATCAGTGATCTGTCACTAAGACTGAAAAAAGACCACTGCAGTGGACATGAGCGGCAACTTGCAATTGTTGCAATTTCTGGTGATAACTGTGGTTGCCATGCTTTAGACTTCATGGCACAAACCACTTTTAAGTGGAAGTTGCATGGAGCAGGGATCAGAAAGTTAGTGCATGTAAGCAATTGCAAATGCAGGCTTGAGGTTTTATTGCCCTGGATTACATGAAGGTGAACTCAGAGGTGAAATACAAGGCTAGATTCAGAGTGGAAGCTTGTATCAGTGACTGAAATGGACATACATTTTTAGGTTTTTCTATATGGGAAATGAATTGGGTTTTGTGATCACAATTTACAGGGGAGGAGTACACAGACATAGCAATGATGGATGTAGTATAAAGCTGTCAGTTTACCAGTTAAATAAATTAAGCATGACTTTTGATTTGGAATGCATGGTCTTTTACCCAGAGCTTAAGTCATGACAAGGTTGAAAGCTGTCATTTTCTTAGCAATGGTTAGTTTATATATTTATTTTTTTTTTACTGAGAGCAGAATTGAAATTATTTCCGAATGTTTTCTGACAGTTTAGTCATGAATGTGAATTTGTGTTGGGCACATATTTACATGGTCTTGAAAACAGTCTACCTCAGGAGCAGAATGTACAAGCCATGATGCTACAGGGTGAGAAATTATATTTAACCTGCCCATCCAAAAAAAATTACTTCAGGAGGTGATCTGAACATTTTCGTAAAAATCTAGTACTCTGAATTCCTGCTTAGCTTTCAATAAATGTGTGCTAGCTGTATGAACACGCAGGTTTCCATATCTATCTAATGATTAAATATGATACACAAGAATGTTTAAGGAAGCTAGAAGAAGGGATGAAGAAATCCCTATATTACATAAAACTGAAAATTCTAGTACAGTAACTGTGCCTGTGCTTAAGGTACTTCATCAACTAGAGCTGCCTTGCAGTTATGACAGAACCTCTGCTCATGCTTATATCACTATGTCTGTCGTTATTTTCTCCTGTTGCCTGTCTTCACCATATCAGGAGTTATTGACAAAAATATGTATGTGGTGCAGTGCTTTATCTTACCATTCATATATTTTTAGCTTTTCTTCTAGCCTGTGCAATAATTGGGGTCACCATGATATAATAGCTTTGCTTTGTGATTTGTTTCAAAGGCTTGTTCGGGTATTAAATATTTTAGTGTCTATCCAATTATGTCAAGTTAGTTTAAAGCAGTCCTTAAATATTGTTGGAGCTCTTTATGACACTCAGGATAGGTTTTCTAGATCTTTATAAAGTAATTGTTAAGATCTTTTTAAAAGTGCAGAACATGAAAGCAGCTTTATTGGACAGCTAAATTACGCTGGAAAATAACATTAAATGGTATATAAGTTAGTGAACTTATATATCTTTTACAACCTATTCACTTTTAAAGCAATACTACTTTACAACAGTTTACTCAACCATTGTCTTGTATCACTTGATGAAGTATGGATTAAGCTTAAAAATCAAAATTTAGATACTGTCTTTAGGCAGAGAATGTGGATATTGTCTTAAGGCACAGAGTGTGGACTCTGTATGAAAAAAAAGATGAGCACAGGTGAATTTGACAAACAAACTGGATTTATTTATTTTTTTTCCTCTGTTCTTAATTAATATGTTGGCGTTGCTGTGCCTTCTGAAGCTGTCTGGGGTGCTGTAATATGACTTCTATTTCTGTAGCTTTTAGTGAACACCTGGACATACTGCACTGTCAGCAGCTTCAGAGATGTTGCTAACCCATCACTTGCTCTGTGTCAGTTGAATTTTCCTACAAAATAAGGGAAGTATGCCAGTATATTGTAAGATGTTTGAACACGGCTGCATCAATGAAATACAGTAGATATAACCTCATTATGAAAGCTGCCTTTCAGTTCTGTTAGTAATTATTTGAATGGGAGTGAGAGGCTTTGTTCAGGGTTTAGGGGCCCCTTTTGTGCTACATACTTTATGAACAGCACAGAGAAAATACACTCCCCACTCCGGAGACTTAGAAAAGACTCCACATGTTGTTCAGAAATACTATAGCTAGATTTACTATTTTCTAGGTGTGCAAGCTGATGTGGGATCTTGAAGTCTAGTTGCACAGTTTCTGTCTTATATTGTCAGAAGCAGCTCAGATTCTTGAAGTCAAGCTCTGTTCTCAGTTTAATGGGAATCACTGGAGCCTGGAGTTGCACATATGTGACTGAGAGTGGAACTGAAGGAGTCGTGTTGTGCTGATAGCCTTGTGCTTGTCATTTTGTTAACAAACCTGCCATTAACATGCAAGACAGAAGGGACTCCAGCTCATTTTCCAGTTTCCCGTCATGATTACCTTGAGCTTTTGGTCTAACAGAAATTGAAACATCTTCCCTCCTTGTCTCAGTTTCTTACCCTTAACATCAGTCAATGTGACTGACTAGATAAAAACAGCAAATAAGAGGCATTAGAAAAAAAAAGGTGTTTTTATCGCTCCATTTTTGGAGAAGAGCTGTTTCATAAAACTTTTAGCTGTGGGTTTTTTTTCCTCTTAATATTTTAATTTCCTTTGTAGGAGATATGGATAATTTCTTTTATATTGTAATTCTTAGGGCAAATGTATTAGACCAATGCAAAAGACCATCTAGACAATTTAGGGCAGGTTATAGCCAGCAGTAATTGTCAGGGATGTTTGCTTGAGAAGTGTTCAGAGGGAGGAACATTTTCTTTGGTGTATTTAATAGCTGCTAAAATCAGTATAATATAATAGTTACACTTTTAGGAAAACCACAAAAAGGACACTTTCCAACAGATATTTTATGACAGTGAAATTAAAATTACAACTATGAAAGTATTTCTTTTTTCCTATAAAATCTGAATTTTTCTGATTTCTATAAATGCATCCAGTAAAAACAGATCTAAGGTTCTTATGTCACATCAATTTTAATGGGCAAGTCAGTGGAGCTAGTACAGACTACATCAGTGAGCATCCTGGCTCCAAATATGTTCTCTAAGGGTTTGCTTGCTTTGGGGTTTGTGTTTCCTTTAAGGGTTTGTGGTTTTTTTTTTTTACTCCAGCTTAAGACTTAGACTTCTTTTAGAATAGATCATTTTGGTGCTGTGTTCGAGATGTTCTTGCTTTGAGAGCTCTCAGTTTTCTTTTCCTTGTCATTATCAGTCAGGAGCAGAGAGTCTCTTGCAACCTCTTCATGGTGGCCTCAGCTCACAGCAGGTTTTTCTTTGACAGAGGTTTTTCCCAAAGTCTTTGTGCCACTACTGCTAACCTGAGAAGCTCTGTGTCAGTTACTGGTGTTCTGCACAGGTCACAGATATTCCCAGAACTGCAGCATCCAGCTCTGCTCCTGTTCAGCTTGACAGAACTGAATAGTTAAGCGATGGACTTTTTGGCAGCACAAACTGTCTGAGAACCAGCCCAGGACCCCTTGAAACACTGAGTGCATTTTCAAGTGTGATTAACTTCACCCATCCTTTCGATGCCAGGAAGTTTCAGGATAATCAAGTTGTTTGTGCCTTCATTTAATTCTGACTGGGTACAGAAACTTCTTTTTTATTTTTGAAAGGAGTAGGAGTTTTTGCACTTGCTGTGTAGCAAAGGAGTTCCTGCTTGCCCTGGGACTGGCGTGTTCTGTACCAGAGTTAGTTGCATTTCTATTTGTGCTTTTATGGTAAGGTTGAGAATGTCCTATGAATGCCAGCTGTTTTCTGTAATAACTGGTCTCTAAATAAAGAGCAGTATTTACTACCTACCCAGCTGCCCCATTAAAGAATGCCCACTTTTCCACCACCTCAGCTAAACTGATAGGCACAGATGACTGAAGATCCTGTGTTGTTCTTGTTTGTGGGTTGATCCATGCTGTCAGATAGTGAGACAGTTCAAATGCTCTTGGCACTAATTGCATATAAAATAACCTTCCAACAACAGAGAGGGTGTGTAGCTGTGGTACTAACTCCAGTGAACAGCAGCTATAAGGATACAATTTCTTTTCATGGAATCCAACCTAAATGTACATTTTGTTGATTTTATTTTGACATTTTTGGTGGTGTATCTTAAAGGTATAAAAAACTCGTGTCTTTTCTTCTTGTTACTGAAACAAGAGTAAGATGAAGGCTGCTTCTCTGGGTTTCCAAAAGCTTTGGGAAAGAGTAGCTCCACAAAAAGAAACTGCATTTGGATCTAACATGAGCAGTGTTATCAAATGCACAAGAAAATAGCACAAGTTCTTTGTATTTTTATTTTTTTTTGAGTCTCGATTTGATGTAGGTTTCTAGAGTATTATCAATTGATCAATAAAACATGTTAGACTGCATGCTAGTACTGATTAATTCACACCTTTGGTACACAAGAAGAACCAAGGTGAAGCCTGGTGTCTCTAAAGGGACTTGCTAAGTGCATTAGCCAGCTGTCTACTAATGTGTGTAGTACCTCTCGGCAGATCACCCCAGTGATCCCAGCCCCGGCTGCCTGGTGTGCTGATGGATATGCCGCAGTAGGATGCAGCAGCACCGTGGATGCAGGGGAGGTCCAGCACCTGGCAAACCCTACTGTGTGTTTCCAGGTCTTGCTTCAGGACTGAGGGGAAAATATGAAGACTTCAGTCTTCATAGCCATATCCAAGACCTTTTTAGCAAGAAGGATTTGTTCAAAGCTGTATTTAGCATTCCGTAACAGAACTTTCTGGCTGTATGTTTGAAGATTGAGTAAAATGTGTGAAAAGGACTCTCTTGCAAAGGATCCAGCTTGCTTATTTTGCATCTTTTTTTTTTCCTTAATTCAAATTCCAGAAATGGTTGCTGTACACTGTAAGAGCTGCTTTTCTCTCCCTATGGCTGAATTTTACCAGAAAGGGTGAGAGGGATTCCCTGTGCTCCTTCAGTTGTGTTACCTGACCAGGTCCACAAGTTGTAGCTTTTTTAAAGTCAATTATATCCATTTTATTCCAAGTCTGTGAAAGTATAAAACTTAGAAAGTTAAGCATGCCTTTGGGCATGACACTTCATAAATTCTAAAACAGGAGTTTGGGAGGAGGGAGTTCTCCCCTGGACAATGTCCAACAGCAGCCAAATGCTGGTCTGTCCTCCCTGTCCCTGCTTCTCCCTGTCTGCAGCTGTGTTGCATGAGTACAGATGGGATGTGTGCTGGTTTGTGTCAGGGACACGATGGCGGCGTGGAGATGAGAGCTAAGGAGAACTGAAGGTCAGAAGATAGGCTGATTGCAAGAGGCCCTGCAAAGGCAGTGGGGCTGTCTGTGGGGAGGGAAGGCAACTCCAGGGCAGGGTTTGCTTTTTGTTTTCCAGCTGGTGCCATGATACAGAGATAATGGTCTGCTTTATCTCCAATCTAAAAGGCTTTATGTAAGTCAACCTATTGTCTGTGTCAGTGCAAGTGATAGTGCTTGTGTGTACAAAGCGGCTCATGACAAATCTTCCTGAACTCCAGCTGGCTTCTCAGCAAGTGTGGGGCATCAGAAGTGAGGGGCCTTGGAACTGTAGCTCCACAGCATGCTAGACAGATGTTGTCCTCCTAGCCCTCCTGCTGCAGTGCTTCCTTTGCCCTTGCTGGGGCCATCTGACGTCACAACACAGGATGGTCCAAGTCCTCATTAACCTTGTGGGTAATGCAACTGCTTGAGGTGGTTTGTAAACACAGATCCATGCAGATTTGCAGATTCTTGAGGTGTGATCCCAGGCCTCAGTCTCTCTTCACCAGGGATATTAGCAGGCCACACTGATTGTTTTTTTCAGGAAGTTTTTATTTTCAAAAACCTTAAAAAGTGGGATTCAGATGCCTAAACACAGGCATCAAGCTCCATCATCAGAGTTCATGAGATGGTCCTATGGTACCAGGTGGAAAATTAGGAAACCGAATGGAGATGTGGAGCCTCCAGGAGTGGCAGGGGGAAGCCAAGGGGAATATGTTGTGGCATTTTACATGGCTGTAATGTTTGTAATTAGACAACTTGGTCAAACCTTTGGGGTCTTTTAGGCTGAGCCCTTTGGCAAATGTGGCTAAAGGAGTGTGATGACATGGTGTGGACAGGAAAACACAGCTGTCCCCGAGTACTAATTCAATGTACTAACATTTATTGCTGAAAAAGCTATTCTAAAATCAATCCTGACTATCACAGCATTTTTTACTCCTGATGTATTCATGAGTGTTTGGCATACTGTGCACATTCTTAGTTTTGAGAGAACTGACATTAATAGCTATTAAGTTAAGTCTGAAACTTGTGGCATTGTTAATTACCTCCAGTCATGTAATTTATTGAACTTACAAAACTTAAGTTCTTGAGTGCTATGACTAATTATAAGATTGGAAATTAATCCAGAAGTGGAAATTACAGCCATACTTGAAAATGTCTCTCAGGCAACTTTGATCATTTCCACACGCTTTTATCCACAGGTCTCTACGAGGAGATCCGTCAGTGCCGTGAAGCCTGTGGAGAAGCTCGTATGAAAACAATCTTATCAACGGGTGAACTGGGGTCTCTTGCTAATGTCTACAAAGCCAGTATGATAGCTATGATGGCAGGTAAATATATGATGTTTTCTTTTTAAGCTAAGAATGTCTTTGCTATATTATTTATGAAGCTTAAAAAATTCTAGGTGTGAAAGTTTAGTTTTGCCCAAAGTAGAAAAAAAAACTATTATGCAGCAATTGCTGAAGTTGCAGGTATAGTAATGAAGTCTTTTTCTTTTTTTTTTGTATAACCTACAAAAACTGCATCAAATGCTAAATAACACCTAGAACGGCGACAAAATTTGTGGAATGAGTAATATTTGTTGTAAAATGTCTGATCCTTGGTATATTTAATAAGGACACATATATTTGGGGCAGATACATGTATTATCTAAGCAACAGTGGTGAGCTACAGATGTGGCGTAGGTAGATACGTCATAAGCTTATTTTAAATGGAGAGGGAATTTTCCTGTGAAGATTCATGCTGACAGCTCTCTCTTCTGGTTTACAATCATTTCTGCTAACCACCCTTATTAGAGTGTGGTTTGAGAAACCAGCTGTACTGGAAATGCAGTAAGGGGGAGAACACCACATGCTCCATCAGGCACTTGGATGGGCTAGGATATAACTGGTTTTAACTGGAATGCTCAAAGTCAGTGGCACTCACTATCAACAATTAATTGGCACTTCAAAAGGTGTCCAGTCTTCCTGTCTTTGAAAACTCGGTTACATCTGACCCAATATTTAGAAGTCTGTCTGCCTGCCTTTATTCTGAACCTTTCAGCCAAGAAACACATTCCTATGAGCATGATGGAGTTTTTAGGGGCTATGTATTGCTTGTAGGAATTACTTTTTTGCATAGCTATTGCCACTGAATGTAGCAAAGCACCTACTTGAGCCCAGATTTACAACAATATAGTCTCTGCATCTTTGGGTCTGTGCTGGTACAATTTTCCCTTGTTTAACCAGGATTTTAGGGATGTGTGTTAATGCAAAACTGGGAATTGGTTGATATGGCTACATTCTTTCGGCTCTCTTCTAGGCACCTGCTTCTTCCACTGTGTTTGAAACAGGACTCTTCAAGTGTATTAATAGAAAGAAATGTAAAGATATACTAGAAACACTTGGGTTAGTCTGTCTTCTAAACGTACCCTAATTTTCATGTTGATTCTTTTTTTCCTACTATAAACTCTTCATCCCTGATTTTTTTTCTTATTTTAGAGCAAGAAAATATAATCTAGTGTCTTGTCAGTATTTAAATAAATATTCAACTTGCTACTGACCTCATTGTCTCCTTACACACCACTGTGCTTACTTCAAATGAAAGGGTAAGCATTTCAGGCATTTACATGATCAGCTACAATGTCAATTGGTATCATTAGATACAGAGGATCAGTATTATGCCAGTAAATATTGCTTTTAATTAGAAGAGGTAGAAGAAATACACATTTGCTGTAACTTAAACTGATGTAGTAATCATAACGATCAGTTATTATTAACATGCAGTAGTGAAAAACTCAGGTTGTAAAGCATTTTAACGTTTTCAGATTCTTTGCTGGTGTAGTTTTTTTGAAATACAGCAGATGGCTCTATTGTTAATGATTTTCCTTGCATAGTTATTCGTTTTGCAAGATACTTATCCATCTGAATATATGCAGTAATTTCTTTATTTCAGTGTCTTGCTTTTTCTTTGTGGGTAGGTATAAAAATAAGAGTTTGTTGGTGCCCTACATACATGTATTGAGGGCCAGATTTTCAGACTAACTTGTCAGAACTGCTGAGAACTTCAAATTCCAGTTGAATTTTGTTTGATTTTTTATATTTGTAGCATCTTGGGGAGGAAGTAATTTGTCGCAGTACTTTTAAATTGTAGCTTTAGTATCTATATATTTTTTCAACTGGAGCTATGACTTTGAAGAAAGGAAGAAAGAAAGAAAGACAAAAAAACAGATGATTTTATGGATATGGCAGGCCCTGGCAACTTTTATCTGAAGATAAAAAAGTAACAACTCTGATAAACCTGACCCTAGCAATTGGTTTTATATGCAGAAGTTAGTTACACAATATAATGGATTCAACTGCAAAACTGGCTTTAGAATTTTTTGCTGTCTCTGGCCAATTGTGCCTGTCCTTTACACCAAGATTTGCTGTTCCTTCAGCTGGGCTGTTAGAAATGCTCATCATGCTGTGTTGTAAACTGAGTTTTCAAAGCAATGTAGTTGAAAATTACTTTAGAAAAGGGTTAATTAGTTTGCTGTTTGCTTGTTGTGATTGGTTGGTAATGTGTTGTTTTGTTTTTTTTTAAATGGTCACAGCCTCAATAATCTGTTTTACAGTCTTGCCTTGCGTGCGATTGTGCCAGTGCAACTGAAGGCATGGTGTGCAGTCCTTCAGCTGTTTTAACTTCACTATGCATAATGTAAGCCTATTATATAGGGAGCACAAAATCCTTACAGATGTTTATGTTGCCCTTGCTGAACATGCACACATTCACCTAGTTTCTGGAGCACAAAGCCACAGATGTATCGCAACATGTATATAAAATGTATGTATTTCCTGTACGTCTTATTTGTAAGACTCAGAAGACTGAGAGAGTAACACAGCGCTGATTTATCAGTAGCTCTAGAGCTTGCCTGGGACGTCTGGGACTTGGTCTCTGACTTGGTCTCTCTGACTCAAGTTCTTCCAGACAGAGGTCAGTTTTACAGTGTATTTGCTGTTAAGGATCTCAGTCCCTCCCAATAAAGTTGCTCTGCTTTGCACAAAGCAACTGAACAGGGAATACAATCCAGATGTCTCCTCTCCCAAATAACTTGCCAAAATTTGTATAGTCTTCCTTGTGCTGTCTTGAGGAATTATTGGTATGCGGTGGGACCCACAGCACATTTCATTTAGTCTGATTCAGGTAGCAGGTAGGGGTTCAGCCTCTGGACATGAGGCCAGCTGCACAGATCACTGATTTGAAAAGGGATGGTAAAAGGTCAGAAAATGTGCACCTCTGCACTGGCTGGGATTTAAAAAGAACATTAAGGACCATGCTCAGGCTGGGGTGGTGTGCCCATGCGCTTGTATTCAGAGCAGATTGCACACGCTGCTTCTGTAGGCAAACAGCTGTACTCTGAGTCATAGCCCTTACAGGACTCAGCAGAAGCCATTCACTGTACATCAGCGAGTGAGGCTGAGCCCAGTCAGATGTGCAGATCCCACCAGTGCTCTGGAGGTAGAAGCCAGCTGTAGAAATGGTGCTTTGCACAACATGCCTGAGTACAATACATTAATGCTTGTGCCTGCAAGAAAGTGTTGCTTCAAAGGAAGGTATGAGAGTAGTTTACCTCTATGTGAAGCAGTGGCTTTTGGTTACTCCTGTAAATGAAATTTATCTCCAAAGTAACATGATGACTTTTTCTTCCTTGTCTGGCACAGTACTGTAAGGAGAAAGACATCAGAATGAGAGCAGGCACACAGTTCCCTTAATTTCTCTTAACCATACCTTGACTGACATATGATAAATTTCTTCTGGAATATTTAAGAACCTATTTCTGAGTGAAAGAGGCTGACAGCCCTCTAAGGACAGTGACTCATCTTGCAAGAGTAATTCTTGCAGTGCTAAGGAGGACATAATGCCAGGTAGGATTGCACATCAGTGGCTCTGTGTCACTGCCAAAGGTGCACACTCTTTTCAGAAGGCTGATCAAAAGAAAATCTCAGTATTGAATCAGGGGGATTTTGGTCATTGGTTTATAATGTCCACTGCCATTTCTTGAGCTTTTTGAAATCTTGATGGTGGTTTATGAGCTTCTCAAGGGAAATGGCAACTTTGACTCTACCCAACAGCTTCCAGACAAGGAGCAGAGCAAGCTAATCAATGGTTTTCACTGTCTGGTGTATACTTGTGTGTGCCACATCAACTCTGTATCTTTGTAGCCTCTTGGAGTAAACAGTCCTAAGGAACACAAATGTGAGTGCTTGACATCACCATACCAGTGGTAACTATTCTGTTTCTTTGTTGCAGTGTCTTAAAAAAAAAAACCCAAGCAGGTCTTGTGCACAGTTCTCTTGGGAGAGGTAAAACTTTTTTAACTTCTATTTTCTGACACAAACATCAGAAACCACCAGGGAAGCCAGGCAAGCAAGAGAAGTACGATGAGCTTGCAGTGGGAAAGGAGCGTTTCAGTAAGGATGTGGATGACTTAATTGCATATCACAGTCATATATAAGGTTTTTATTTTGGAAAATCATATTTTAACCATATTACCTAATTACAAAATCTTTATTGTCCTGTGTAACAATTCATATTAATTAGGATATGTAGACTTTGAGAGAGGTGGAAGAAGTGATTATGTAAATGTACTTTGCTTTAAAAGTGAAAACTTAATCTGAGTAATTCTGACTGTGAAAGCTGCTCTTGATGGTACAGCTCCTTTTACATCAGGCTTTGAAAAGCTAAGGGGAACAGAGTGACACATAAAAGGTATTTGCTTTCATTATATATATATTGAAACAAGTACCTGTGGAAAGATCATGAAGGAGTGATGCATGTTCTTCTGCAGCTCTACTAAATCTATGGGTTTAGGACAATTTTTTTTCATAGGTCATTAAGCAGTTAGTCAAATAAATTGTAAGCTGTACTGACTAATGTAAAAATTGAACTCAGAAAGGGCATGAATTAGTGCTAAACCAAACTAACTTGTAAAGTCTCTAGCACAAAAAGCCCTGCAAAAAGTTGCAGGAGATGGCTGAGGCAATAAGGTCTCTGATGCTGGTAGTCTAGAAGAAGAAAACTAAACCACATTAAATGTGTGAGCAGAAACTTTTTTAGATGTTTGATACTGTTCATTCCAAAGTGAACAGAAATAATATAGCCAAATAGTTAAGAAAAGCCGTATCTTGCAGTTCTCTAGAGAGCCTGCTATCAGGTATTCCAGGCTTCATCCCTCTTTACAGAAGTGGTTCCAGTTAATACACACTTATCATTTTCATAGCAAAACTTACCAAAACTTAAAGTTGCAAATGGGCTGGCGTTGTGCTGGATTCAGAGAGACTGGCTGAAAGCTGTAGTATCCAGTCTTTGT